GAGTTCGAGACCAGCCTGGGCTACAAAGTGAGCTCAAGGCCAGGCTGAACTGCATAGCGAGACCCTGTCTCAAAAAGACAAAAAAAAAAAAAAAAAAAGCTAAACATCATCTCATGAACCTTCATTTCTCCAAATTAGTAAAATATAGCTATAAGCATTTTGGCAGCAGCATCAGAAAAAAATGTGTGTCATCACACCCTATCTTAATGCTGAAAGTAAGAAAGTAATTGATAATCCAACTTTGTCCAACATGTTGTTGTTTTATAGATCATTATTAAGAACACTGGGTACAATAATGAACATAATGTACACAATGATGGCTCAGATCTTAAGAACTCATTGGATAAATTCTTCACTGATTCTGGATCGAGTGAAAACGCCTTCCTGTCTTAGTGTCATTAGAAGTAGAACGATATCAACCCATAAATCCAAAAAGAAGATCCAAGAGTATTATAGGCTGCTGAACCTAGATGAAGGATGCTCTGTAGACGATGTCCGGGAATCTTTTCGTAAGCTTGCCAAGCAATACCACCCTGACAGCAGCTCTAGTGCCGCAGACTCTGCAACATTTATAAGGATCGAAGAAGCCTATAGGAATGTGCTTTCGCATGTGATAGAGCAAACAAATGCCAGACAGAATAAAGTGGAAGAGTCAGAAGAAGAAGAAAGTTTTAAATATAATACACCCCAACACCGCCATTACTTAAGTTTTGAAGGTGTTGGCTTTGGGACTCCAAGTCAGCGAGAGAAGCAGTATAGGCAATTCAGGGCGGACCGTGCAACCGAGCAAGTGATGGAATATCAAAAGCAGAAACTGCAAAGGCAGCATTTTGCTAATAGCATAATGGTTAAAGATGTAAGACAGAGCAGGGAACAAAAGATTACCCAAGCAATAGAGCGTTTAGTGGAGGACCTCATTCAGGAATCAATGGCAAAAGGAGACTTTGACAATCTTAGTGGGAAAGGAAAACCTCTAAAGAAATTTTCTGGCTGCTCCTATATTGATCCCATGACCCACAACCTGAACAGAATATTGATAGATAATGGATACCAACCGGAATGGATCCTGATGCAAAAAGAAATAAGCGATACTATTGAGCAACTCCGAGAGACCATTTTAGAGTCTAGGAAAAAACTTGGGAATCCAATGACACCAGCGGAACAAAGACAGTGGAACCAAGTTTGTGAACAGTTTGAAGAAAACATCAGAAAACTAAACAAGAGAATTAATGATTTTAATTTAATTGTTCCCATCCTGACCAGGCAAAAGGTCCATTTTGATGCACAGAAAGAAATTATCAAAGCCCAGAAAGTGTATGAGACTCTTACCAAAACAAAAGAAGTCACAGATGAAAGCCCAAATGGCAATCAGACAGAAGAGAAAACCCCTGGGGTCAAGACAGGTTTTTTAAACTGGATAAATCTGTGGAAATTTATTAAACTATGACCACTGCAGTGTTTGCTATCCTAGTACCACCCCGTTCATTTTCAGCTGCCATCAAATGTAAGAGGCTGGGACCAATTGTCCTGCCACAAGCATGTGAGACCTGTGTGCCTCTGTGTTTGTCGTAAAACTGATCACAGCCCCAGTGATGTGTGCGAAAGCTAAGGAACTGAGTCAGAAATTTTCAGTCAGCTCTGCTCCTAAGGGTGTAGCAGAGAAAAGATCTGACTTCTTTTTTTTTTTCTTGGTACCGGGAATCGAACTCAGGACCTACCACTTGCCAGGCAGGTGCTTGTGCCACTGAGCTATATTCCTGGCCGAGAGCTCACTTCTAAAGGAGACAGTTTAATCCACTGCAGAGTTCAGGTGTCAGTAGTCAGCTGAAATGAGTGAGAACTGAGATCAAACTTGAGAATCATACAAGGTATTTAAAAAGTCTTAGTGTAGTTTTAGGCTCTAATAACTTAAAAGCAGTTGCCATTTTTAAACACAAGTTCTTCAACAACAAAATCCTAAATATGTATTATCAAAGCATGAAACTTAGGGGGCTGGGGATTTAGCTCAGCGGCACAGCGCCTGCCTGGCAAGCACGAGGTCGTGAGTTCGATTCCCGGTACCGGAAAAAACAAAAAACAACAACAACAAAAAGCATGAAACTGAAGAAGTACGGTGACATGTAACCTGCTAAATCTCCAAATGACCTTTCTTTTTTACAAATTTACTACAGTTCTCCTGAGCTTAGTAAAGCTCAAAACTGTTTTAAGACTTTTAGAACATCTTCAATTTGGGCAGAAAGATTAAGATCAGGAAATTAGTTTGATGGAGTTGCTGTACTTTTTTTATTATAAGACCTTCTTTTTGGGTACTGAATGAAAAAACAAAAACCCCAGACGGGTAGGTTGTACTTTTTCTTGCCTAACTTCATGATCCGTTGGCTGCAGAAATCAATCAGATAAGCTAGATGATTTAGAAATTCCTTATCCCCCAGTTAAATCAGATTTGTCAGAGGCTTTTTTGTTTGTTTGTTTTTTGTTTTTTTGAGACAGGGTCTTACTATGCAGTCAGGCTGGCCTTGAGCTCACTTTGTAGCCCAGGCTGGCCTCAAAGTTGTAACGTACCTCCTGCCTCAGCCTCCCAAGTGCTGGGATTACAGGTGTGCGCCACCATGCCCGGCTGTCAGAGGCTTTTGAGTGATGTGAAAATCCAGTTTACTGTCCTAGGACCTTACCTGCTTTAGGGACCCTTTAATAAATAAAGACAAGATACAGTATCTGAATTTTCTGCATTTGTATTTGGCTAATGACGAGATTGAAATTCAGGAGATTATGGTGTCCTGTTGACTATTTATTTATTTTTTGGTGCTCGGAATCAAACTCAGGACCTTGCACTTGCTAAGCAGGCGCTTGTGCCACTGAGCTATATCGTCGGCTCCTGTTGACTTTCAAAAAATCTAATTTTTAGTCAGGTGTGGTGGTACACACTTGTAATCCCAGTACGTGGGAGGCCAAGGCAGGATGATCACCGTGAGTTTGCGACTAGCCTGGGGTACATAATGAGTTCAGGGCCAGCCTGAGCTGCATAGTGAGACCCTGTCTCAAAAGGAAGGAAGGAATGAAGAGAGGGAAAAATTAACTTTTAAAGACTTGGATAATTGCTTTGCTACTGAATGACCATCTAAGAGGAAGTAGAAGGTGGTGAAGAGCAGCTGGTCTATTTGTAGAATGCCTTGGTGGGGCTAGGGTCTGGCTCAGTGGTAGAGTACCTGCTTAGTATGCCTGAGGCCCTGGGTTCAATTCCCAGCATCCCCCCCCCCCCCGCCCGCCCCCGAAAAAAACAATAGAACGCTTTGGTGTAGATGTGACTCAGAAACATGATGTGACTCAGAGACATGGCACCCAAAAGTCTTGATTATTGAAAAAATAAGTTACTTTGTAAAGTGTGTGATAGTTAAATGAACAAATACACCTACATTCTCTTTTTTTTTTTTGTATCGGTGATCCAACTTAGGACCTTGCACTTGCCAGGCAGGTGCCTGTGCTACTGAGCTATATTTCCAGCCCAAACCTACATTCTCAAAAGGAAATCTGAAGCCTTCCTGCTTAGATAAGGGGGACATGTATGACATAATTGACATAACGGTTGACATAATTTTTAATTCAGTGAATTATCATTTGGCTTCTACAATAATAGTACTTATTACTGTAAATAAAATTGTAAACAATAAGAAATATAGCTTTGTGTGTATGTGTGCGTAAGACAAGGTCTTGCAATGTAGCTCAGGCTGGTCTTGAACTCACTGTGTAGCCCACGTTGGCCTTGAATGTGTAGTTACCCTCTTGCCTCAGCCTCCTGAGTCCTGGGATTATAGGCATGCACCACCATACTCAGCTCAGTAATACAGCTTTACAAATAATAAATTGTTCAAAACATTTTAGAAGCCTGTAATTCTGTGACTTGCGAAAACTTAGAGTTAGATGTAAAAGTCTTAATTGTATTGCAGCAAACATGAATGAAACTATTTTTAGTATTGGGTAGTGGGAAGATGAGGTTGCCAGAACACTTGATTTCAGCACAATGCACTTTATGTTTGTAAATGTCTGTATTAATAAAGTTACTTTAATGGTTATTCAGTGGTCCATTTTTGTATAAACAACTAAACATAATAATAACCATATTTTTGGCCAACCACCTAAGTATGTGAGTTTTTAAATTTTTTTTTTTTTTGGTCTTTTTTTTTTTGTCTTTTTGAGTAATCCCTAGTGCTGGGATTACAGCCGAGTGCCACCATGCCCGGCTAATATTTTTGATTAATGATACGAAATCTGACTGTCACACAGTCCATGTTGAGAGGACAAATTCATTTATGTGAAAACAGACTCATTTAACCAAATTTTAGGCCAGAGAAAGGAGTGGAGCCAGTTCATCAGAATTTGCTGAATTGTAATTGAACGTTTAACTTCAGCATTGACCTTTGTTAATTTTAACTGCCAGCTTTACAGTTCAGTGATAATTTATTGATTTTATTTTTATATTTTGGCAGTACTGGGGACCAAACCTCGGGGACTCTACCACTGAGCTGCATCCCCAGCTTTTTTGTTTTACTTTGACAAGGAGTCCTGCTAGTTGCCCTGGGAGAAATGGACCTTGCAGTCCTGCTTCAGCCTCCCCCAGCATGATAATACAGGCCTCTGGTACCTTGCCCGACTTTATTGAGATTTTTGAACTCACTAGTAGACACACATCAAAAAACTGCATGGCTCCAGTCTTTTCATGACCCCAATATCTACACTGCGTTCTTCAGGCCCTAAAACAAGCACGGTGGCCCAACAGGCTGAGGCCCGCGTCTCAGATCCCTGGCTTCTGTTTCCCAGCAGTCTGACTGGCTTTTGCCCTCCTCCTGTTCCCTCCGGTCTTGGCCTCGGTGGCTGTGCTGGTACCACGGGACTAAAACTGAAATTCCTTGAGCAGTTACTTTACTCTTCATTTGCCCTGTCACTGTGGCCCAGTGACTTAGCTCTGTTCTTAGGGGCAGCCCTTCTGGCCTGCAGTCCCCTTCACCCTGCCTCAGTGCTTGGCCATTTTGCTTCCTGACATCCCTGCTGCCAAGTGCCTGGGTCCCCCTCATCGGGCCTCAGCCACCTTTTGGAAATGCCAGTGCCACCTGGCCCCTGATGACCTGTTCCTAGAAGTATCACCTACCCCTCTTGGTAATGTTTGGTTCACCCAACATTTAATTAGTCTGAAGGAGAATCCATCATTCCACTGACTTCTCTCCCTTTTTTTTTTTTGTCTTTTTGAGACAGGGTCTCACTATGCAGTTCAGGCTGGGCTTGAGCTTACTTTGTAGCCCAGGCTGGCCTCAAACTTACAATGATCCTCCTGCCTCAGCTTCCCGAGTGCTAGGATTACAGGCGTGCGCCACTTCGCCCGGCTCCACTGACTTCTCAAAAATCTATCACTAAGGGAACAAATGGACACCTCAGCCTCAGATGAGGCCGTGAGATACTGACGTTACTGCTGCCCCCATCACCCTGGCCCTGACTGGCCGAGGCAGATTGGAGCCCCCAAACACCACTTCCCTCAAGGCGCCAGGGAAGGGAGGCCGCTCCCTGTGGTGAGACAGCCTCCCGAGGCCCTCTCCAGCTTGCCTCTGAGCCAGTTCCCAGCTGCCGTGGGGCGGCCGAGTCCCCCGTCGTCGTCCTCCCACCTCCAGATCCCCTGCCCACACCTCCATTCCCCCAGATCCAGATCCCGGAAAGTAGGGATCTGGATGGTCTCTCTCCAAGACCATCTCGAAGGATTTGGATTCCTGTGAGAGAACCCGAATGCTTCCTTGATGAGTCACATGGGCACCACCCAGCCCCAGCCCCTGAGGAGGAGACACAGACCACCACCCACCCGGAGGCCGAGGCAGGACTGTACACCAAGTACACTAAGTACAGAGCGAAACCTTGCAAGCTGAGGGGGCGAACCTGCCCGGTACAGAAAGGCAAAGCGGACAACGGTGTCCTTGAAGAGCCTGTAGCGTGAGTGCTTGGTCCAGTGGCAGCTGGGCCTGGCGTTGACGACTGGGTCCCCTTGAACCCTGTGGACAAGCCTGGTTCCGAGGCCTGGTCCTCTCAGTTCTTCCTCCGGGCCACCGTGTATTAATCCCTTCGGTATTAAGAGGATTAAACACCCGAGGAAGGCTAACTTGATGACTAAAAGAGGTTGATCGAGCTTACAGTTTTGGAGCTTCAAAGGCCTGGCACTGGCAAGAGCCAGCTCGGACCTGAGGGCCCTCTGGGGCATATCACATGGCTGAGGAAGCCCAGGGTCTGTATCTGCACACAGGCCTCCGGCGGGCACGACAACCCTCCCGCGAAAACTCACCAGGGTCCCTTGAGAAGTCTGCGCCTTCCCTTCGACACCCAGGGAGCCTCAGGTGCTCCCGCTAGGCTCTGTGCCACCTCCTGGTCATGGTACCCTGGGGGCCGAAACCGCAGCAGTGAGCTTTGGGGGACACCCTAGA